AAGAGTGAAAAGCTGCCAAGAGTCTGGCTTGTCTCGTGGTATAAATTGTCAGATAGGTTAAACCTAACTAAACCTTCATTCATATGTCACGCAGACACAAAATAGCTGGCTAAACCTTCATCTGGCTTGTGCAAAGAGACATACTGAGTAGCTTTTGTTAAACCGTGATGGTGGATTGAAAAGGCCTGAAAGCAAAGAAGTAGCTTAGTTAGTTGTGTATCCTTTACAGGATGTTGCAGAACCAACCCCATCATTTTTTGGCTGTTGTAGTTTTTCTAGGCAAATTTACATACAGTAGTTTGCTATGTCACAAACTTTGAATATCTAGGCTCTATAATAAACAACAATGGAGACTGTTCGACAGAAATTAAAAGGAGGATGGCCATAGCAATGCAAAGATTGAACAGCCTTAAAAGTCTATGGTTAAGCACCAGCAAAGAGATACAAATTTGAATTTTGAGCGCATGCATCTTCCCTGTGGCTACATACGGTTGTGAGTCGTGGACTATCTCTCAGTCCTTAAGAAAGAGAATAGTGGCTTTTGAGCTGAAATGCTATAGAAAGATACTCAGAATATCTTGGACAAAGAAGATGAGAAATATTGACATCTTAAAAGATCTCAACATCAAGGAAGATTGGCTAATAAACAGCATCCTTTCTCGAAAGATGAAATATTTTGGTCATATCAAGCACCACGAGGAATTGGAAAAAGTTGTAGCAGAAGGCATGGTACCAGGAAGGAGAGGCAGGGGCCGACCGACACGAAGATGGGCACAGGATATAAGTGACTCCTTGAGGGTGAAAGTGCATGAGGCGGGAGAACTGGCAAGAGGCCAAGTTTCTTTCAGGCAGACTGTGATGAGAGCAACGTTCAGCAAAGGACCTGCTACATGATGATGATGAGTTTGCTATTGCTTTCTGGACAGTCGACTTCTCCATACCACTGCCAATACCAACGCAAGGCCAGCAGCTGGGATTGAACCCGCCACCCCAGCATTATGAAGCACGTTTGCAACACCTAAACCACAGACACTGACAAAAAGAAGTGGGTAACAGCCATAAAATGATATGCAAGTGAAATAAAGGCATCATGGTCAAAAATAGCATATTTAACACTTTTTTGGAGAAAGTGTGTGAAACTTTTGCATCTGCAGTCATGTACCACATCAGAAGTCTCATACTTAAGTTGGAACCTGTTGGAACATTGTATGCAAAAAGTTATTTCTTTTTACCAAGTCTTTCTTGTCAAAGGTGTTCTGTAAAACCATTGTCCTTTTTAAATGGAGTATCAGCCATCTTGCTACTGTCTTCTGTTGTAGTTTTTAAAATACTTTTTATTGAGTAACTAGATTTAATGACAGTAATGACCACAGCCAGCTGTTTTTTCTTAATACATCAACTCCTAGTTATTTGATATAGTGGTACTGGACTATATCAGGACCAACAGCAGTTCTTGTTACATTCAATTCAGTGTGTAATTTATTCTGCACAGATATCAGGATATGATCACTTATGCAGTGCCTGGCTTCTATTATTTGCTGGATAGTTCTCGTTCTGCTGTTGGTTTGGTGATGGTTCCTAAACTTATGGCGCCAAATAGTTTGGTTTTCCTCATCTTTTTATTCTGCAGTCCGTATTTCTCTGTTTCATGTCCACATTTTTGGCAACTCTTATCTTTCCTTTGATGTTGATTACATCACCAACCAAATGCCAATCGATCTAAAATAATACAAGTCTAGCATCATATACCTGCACAAACACTGGTGTAAAAAAGATAATCAAATGACAAGTCTTTATTTAACATAGAAAAAATAACAGGAATACTTATCTCATTATGTAGGTCCTTTACAGAATGTTGCTGTCATCACAGTCGCCTGAAAGAAACTGGATCCCTTGCCAGCTGTCTCTCCTAGTGCTCTTTCCTTTCCAAGATGCCTTTATTCTGGTGGTGCTTGATATGGACAAAATAGTTTGGTTTCCAGGATAAAACTATGTTTATGAGCCAATCTTCCTTGATGTTTAGATCTTTTAGGATGTCAAAATGTATTTTATTAATTCATGATATTCTCAGAATCTTTCTTCTGCATTTCAGCTCAAGAGCACCTCGTTTCTTCCCTAGTGAGTTAATCCATGACTCACGTTTGTATACTGCTACAGGAAAGATGTATGCTCTCAGGATTTTAACTGTTATTTTCTTGCTGATGTTTAACCAATGACTTTTAATGCAACAAAATACTTAGCTACAACACGAAATAGGCTAATCCTTTCTTGGTATTTTTAGAATCAGCGCAACAATGGTCATCCTTCCCCAGCTGCCAATCACCATGTAGCAGGTCTTTTATAGAAGGACGCTCCCATTATAGACCCCTTGAAAGATCCTTGGTATCTTTCAGACATATTGATCGGCACAGAGAAGAAAGTAGAAAGATAAAAGGACACACTAGGGTTTAAAAAAATAAAGAACCCACACTCATCATCAACATCATCATGTGCCCTGCCAACTGTCGTAGGGGCCGTGTTGTGTCTCCCTGGTTGCCTGGAACAGCTCTCTTGATGATATCCCTCCACGCCATCGTTTCAGCCCATCTCTCTTAGTCTGCCTTTGCCTCTTCTTCCACTGATCTTTCCAGTTGTCGCGATGTTCTCCAGTGTCTCTCTTCTCATTATGTGGCCAAAGAAGTGTTTCCGACACTAGAAAACAGAAAAGCTATAGGTATAGTCATAGTGCCGAGAATCGAACCTGTCACCTCAAAGTGGCGTACGCGTCTCGCAGACGGGTCTGTGGTGTATCGACTGCACGCTCAGCGGGCAGAACAGTCAACGAAGCCAACAGTGCTTTCTCCTTTTCAACCAGCAGCATGGCGATGGAGTGATGGCAGTAACGCAATCGTTCAAGTGGCTCAACACAAAACTACACCCGCTCTTGTGTACTAAATAAATGGGGGAGGGGAAGCCACAGAAATAATGACACTAAAAAGGGCACTATTTCAACAGGTTATCACTGTTGAAGGAGAAACATTAAAACAAGTTCAGGGTTTTACCTAGACCAGTGATTCCCAAACTGTGCGCCGCTGCGACCTTTTCACAGATCGCCGCGAAATATTGTAAAAGCTTCATAATTAATTTAACTAAGACACGAATAGTCATACTTTTAGTTAGGTAAGGGTGCCGTGAAAAAATATTATTCGAAAAAAAAGACTCCTCAGCAAAGAAAAGTTTGGGAAACACTGACCTAGACAATGTATTCACAGAGGATGGAGGACTGGGCAGAAATTACCAAATAGCGCAACTTCTGAGGCATCACCATATCAACATGCTCACACACACACACACACACACACACAGAAAGCAGCTGATGAATGCCTTGTTCGTACAACTTTGTGCTACCAATGACAGATAATCTTAGAAAAGTATAAATGCAAAACTTTAGCATGTGAGATGAGATGTTTAAGAAATGCGGCGGAAAAAAACAACAAGAAGAGACGGATTCACCAATGAAGAACTAAGAACAATAATAATAGGCACAGTGCCAGTGAGTGATATCATATAATATCAAAGAATCAAATAGTTTGGTCAGAATGGAACAAAATCGGCCAGCAGCTAGAGCGTACTACGTGAGAAACGCAGGCTACAAGGCAAGAGGACGATCAAGAAAGATATGGGTGAAGAGAGTAAAAGAAGCACTACAGAAACACAATATCACATTAACTCAAGCTACGCCAATAGCACAACTTCTGAGGCATCACCATATCAACATATCAATATGGGTGAAGAGAGTAAAAGAAGCACTACAGAAACACAATATCACATTAACTTAAGCTACGCCACTAGCAAAGGACAGGAAACTACACTTAACCCCTCTCTGCGACGATTTGCGGCATAAGCAGTAGAAAATAAGAAGAAGAGAAGAAGAAAAAAGATTGTAAATAATGTTCAATATTATTATTTGTCTTATGTACACAAAACGTGTCTTCTGTTATAGTGAATATGCCAACCCAGGTTTTAGCCTGAGATTTTTATTTTAACTTTTACTTGACATATTCTAGTTGGAAATTTAATAATTGTAGGAATCTCTTCCATTTAAGCCTTCATTCCACATCACTGTTCATTCTTCTGTTATTCTTTTTTTTTTTTTTTTTAGGTAATCCCAACAAAATAAGAGATAAACAGACAATCTTGAGGATCCACATTAGGACCATTGATTGATTAATTGATTGGTAACTTTCCGTCTTTCCAGACGATAGTGCTATAAGGAGGCATGGGACACTCAACGGCCATGGCGATGGCGAGTGTGACTATCAAGACCCGCCCGCTTTACGAAAAGTTTTTGACACTTATAGCATGGGATTTCATGACCATTGTTGTCAACATTTGTGTTTAATCGGCTACTTCTCAGACACTCAGCTCTCATCCTTTCTGTAATCATTTCTTCCTTCATTCTCATTCCGTTCCTGATGTCCAACTTTTTCTATATTTTTTTACCCCACCAAGACATCACAAAAGCGATAAACACCCGATGGCACAAAGTGCCACCATGTGGATGAGGATCACCCGTGGAGAGGTGCCAGAAACCGCGTTCAGCTATCAGACCATATTTATGGCCAGGCTATATTGCAGCCCCTGGAAAGAGCCAGAGTAGGGCTTTAAATAACGAAAAATTGCATCCGACAAAAAGATGGCAAAACATATTTTTTCCTGATGTCCCCCACATTAGGGCACATACCCAAAAATATGCGACCTTGGATCTCACTGGAAAAACAATGGCAACTTGTGTCCAACCAGACGTCGTTTATTTATAGAGGCCAGTTTCCTCGACCAATCAGTGAGCTCAGAGTCTGAACCCTTGTAGTTGTAGTAAATTTCTATAAATAGACATCAACCGGAACAGTTGCATTTGTTGTTTTCTTCTTTAGGACTTGACGTTGTCTGCGACAGATTCACACATTTGATACACTTTATTGTCACTATGACTTAATTGTGTCAGTCTGTAGCCTCCAGAAATGTCTGGTCAGACTTCTAGAGGCAGGAGGAAGTATAAACTGGTTATTTTAGGTGACGGAGGCGTGGGAAAAAGCGGTAAGGATTCGGTGTGTAACTGTGTTTTGTGGGAGGGTTGTTGATTGGAAAGTCCGGGAGAGGTGCACAACAGAAAGTAGAATGTCTCCTTTTCATATTGCTAATCAGTTTTCTTTATGTGTTTATTTCTGTCAACAAATCTTCAATACACTTTTCATCTATCCATGGTGTTCTCATCATTTGTCAATAAAACCATATCTCTGCTGCTTCGGCATAATTTCTTGATAATTGCCTAACTGTTCATGATTCAGTTCCATCTGTCAGGATTAGCTGTGTTTAAATATATAGGTCTTTTCTCCACCTCAGTAGACAGAGATAGAAGGCATTCAACATTTAACTTCCTTAATACATCTTCCATCTGCTGTTGTCAATATACCTAAGCACCTAAATGAGTCAACATACTTAAGACTTGTCCTGTTTACTTTGATGTATATTTTCTTTGTAGTTGAAACTAATCTAAACGTATATTCTTTACAGCTCTGGTTATACAGTTTGTTTGTCATAGATTTCTGGAGTATCATGATCCAACAATTGGTGAGTAAGATTAGTTCTTGTATGTTAGTGATGTATGAATATTCAGTTGGTATAATAATGTAACTATAGCAGCAAAATGGCTGCAGTAAACACAAATTATAACTGGTATTCTAGGGTATGAATCTTGAAAAGAAAAGAACAGAGTTTTTTTAAAGACATTAAGATGGAGATTTTACTTCATCTTTTGCCAGTCTCATCGTCATAATCTGTTTATACTTTTGCCGTTAAGTGTCATGGGGAGGGACAGTTTGTGGTCCAATGCTTGCTTGGTAGCACTAGCTATTGTCATTCCATGGGAATGTATAATATCTTTTATGTCATCAAGAATGTATAATATCTTTAATTTCATCCATCCATTTCTTGTGTTCTCTTGCTCTTGCATCAGATCTTTTGCCAATTACATTTTACATTCTTCTGAATTTTAAGCCCTTGATGTTCATTGCTGCAGATATCATCCACCTATGTTCATCTTGGTGATTGGCCTTCTTCTTCCAGTTGGTGACTCCACATGTTTCTAGATCTGTTTGTATATTATCTCACCGTGGTCTTCTTAATCTGCCTCATTGTTTGCCCCCATAAAACTCTTTGGTTTATTCAGGTTTTTGACTATCTGTTATCTGCCATTGCAGTCTTTTAGCCCTCATGATGCCATAGTTAGTGGTGATTTAAAAAGATTATTGTTCTTTTATTTTCAGAGGACTCATTTGAGCAGCAGTGTCGGATTGATGATGAGCCTGCCCATCTCGATATACTGGACACGGCTGGGCAGGTAATTTGCTTTCACTGATAAATATGAGGGAAATACGGATAATTTGCTACCCCACATGTGTACAGTTCAACTTTGTGTTAAATCCCTGGATGAGTTCTGGGCTGTTTTGTCGGGGGGAATAGACCCACAGCCCCCAACTAACAAACATGTTGTAATAGTAGACTGATTAGGGAATTATAATTGTTTTAGTTATTGAATGAGCTAGATGTTGTGAGGGCCCTCTGGGAGCAAATGAAAAGTGCAAAAGTGCAAATAGATCATTACGGTCTGAGGAGAATGGCGCTGCAAGGAGTTGCCAAGGGATCTGGTTGATGCTCAAGACTCAAGGGAAAGGCAAGACAGATATACAATCAGACAGTTACCGGTGCGATCAGAATTGGAATTCTTAATTTGCTGCTGAAAATGGGGACAGAGCGCTTATGGGTGTGTCCCTAGTGCTGTGATGTAGATTCTTAATTCAACATTCAACATTTAGTTATTTAAAAATAAATATATATAATTACTTTATTAATTTTGTCATAATTTGCCTTCCTTTGTTCTAAGACATTTAGCAATAACGTTTCATATTTTATTGTTTAATTTACTAAAGCTAAACAATCGTTTGTTGATGGTGATTTTATCTAACAGACTGAGTTCACTGCTATGCGTGAGCAGTACATGAGGAATGGTGAAGGATTTATCCTGTGCTTCTCCATAACAGATAGGAGAAGTTTTGATGAACTTATAACATACAGAAACCTCATCAACAGAGTACGAGCTGGAGATGAGATTCCAATTATCATAGCAGGAAACAAATGTGATTTAGAACATAAAAGAAAGGTACACGATTTTCTTAACTTTCTCCTTTTTCTGATTTAGTTTTTAAACATTCATCATCATCATCATCATCATCAGGTGCCTTGCCGACTGGCATGGGCAATCATGCCTCTCCATAATCCCCGATCTCCTGCAGCATGTATCAGTTCGTGTGCCGACACATCTCCAAGCCACGCAACAAGACTGTCAAGAATCTTCTCTTGTTGTCTTCCTCTATCCATCCTTCCACAGATCTTATAGTGGGCACAACATGTTCTATTTTCCCTCTTCTCATAACATGGCCGAAAAATGATGTCTGTCTCCTTCTGATGTCTTTTAAACATTAGACTAGCATAATCCTTCTCATTTAATTTATTTCTGGTTAGAAATAAATTAAATACACTTTTAGTTAAAATAGGTCTGGTATTGATGTCTCAAGATAAACGTAAGCTGTATGGTAGACTCACCCCTAGTAGATTCTAGGGCTCCGAGGGGGAGGAAGGAAGCCCAAAACTCGCTGCCTTTTGACATTTATGTCATGAAAGACGACAAATTAAGAGTTTGCCAAAAGGAACAGCTATTGCAGTCTAGCTGTTTTCCAAAATACAGTGTACCAACGGTTAGGTATTTCAAGGGCAAACACAGACAAAGTGTGGAAGACTTTAAAAAGTATTGATGAGTTAAGCAACATCACAGTACTCACAACATTCCCATAAGTGCTACGTCCCTATCTTTAGCTGCCAGCACACAGAGTTCCAATTCTAATGGTACCAGCATTAGTTTCATTATGTGTCAGTCTTACCTTTTTCTCTGTGTTTTGAATGTCAGCCTTATCCCCTGGTCACTCCAAGCTGCATAATTCTCTCCATACCTTAATGTTCTATATAAGTTTCCACATCATTCACTTGGTCGGAAAGGTCCTTGACTTTGTCTGGCGCTCATCATGCATTAATTCATCAACTAATGGTGCAGAACCAGCCAGTCAGTCTGCCTGTTTTGTTTCCCAGCACCCCTCTATATCCCAAAGAAAAGATCTAAAAAATGCTAACAAACATTATCTTTGCTATTTAACTTTTGACATTGTTAGTTCTTCACATCCTTAGTTTTCTGGTTGTTTTTTCACTTTTGGACTTTGGTCTTGCTCCAGAACCTGAGTTTTGCAAGAGTCCCCTTTTATGACTTGCTTTTTAGAGGGTCTATTATCTGGAAAGACGGAAAGGTGTCAAGGAAGGTAAACATAAGAGCTTCCTTGAGTTTTCAGCTTCTATTTAGGGATATACTGCTAGACCCAGTTTTATCTGAACTAAATGGAACTCAGTTACTGATTTAATTACAGTGATGCTGATCACCATAGTGCTGAAAATTTTGTAGTGCCAGTTTGATCTTAGGTTACCTTAGAAGTAGAATAGTCACAGAATACTCCTTTTTGAAAAGGGTTTGGTTGTCAATATTATAGGCCAACAGCTAGATTTATTAGTAACTCTGCTGCCTTAAATGTTTATTAGTATTAAATCCATTTATATACATTTACATATTAAAAGAAATCAGTATTTTAAAAATAAAAGCATGATTTAATGTTCTTGTTTTCAGGTAAAATATGAAGAGGGACAAGCACTAGCACGCCAGTTAGGATGTCATTATTATGAAACATCAGCATATCTGAGAAAATGTATAGATGACGTCTTCCATGGACTTGTAAGAGAAATTCGAGAAAAAGAAAAGGAAAAACTTGAACAGGGACAGAATCCTAAAAAGAAGCAAGGGCGAGTTAGGAAACTTCTGACTTCACTTCAACCTGGGCATCTGTTTAGGAGGGGATCGACTAGAAAACAGCCCAAGTAAAATCATTTCAGCTGCTGTTTAGAGTGTGAACTCATAATATTTTGAATTCATATAACTTTCATAACTTAATATAGTTTAGCACACTGAACTCTGGGAGTCGCCGTGGCCGAGCGGCTAGACGCTCGCCGCGGATCGGAAGGTCATGGGTTCGCTCCCTGGCGGAGACGGACTTTTCTTCAAAAATGACCTTGGCTCCCAGGTCGACCCAGCCTTGAGTGGGTACCGGGTGCAAGTAGAGGCGGCCGGCGTGATGCTGACCACATCCCCATCTTGTGCCGTTGGTCTATAAAATATAGGTCTAGCCCTATATGCCCTATACGCCTAAAGGCGTGGAAAGGGTCCTTTACTTTACTTACTTACACTGAACTCTTGTGGCTAGTCTAAAAGATTCAGCCACAGTTCCGTGTTAAAATGTTTTTATCTGTTGATTCTGTTAGACAGAGCTGTTGAATGTTTGCAATTCAAGACAGTTAGATTGTCGAAAGTATCCCACAATTACTTTGTTTACAGTTGCTTAGGAAAAGGATGATGGGAGGCTTTCAAAAAATAATGAATGTTGGGAAGGAAAGGGAGAATAACAAAGTTAAATACTGTTAGAAACTGATTTTTGTTGTTCAATCAATTAAATATAGCACCTCAATCCACAGCATACACAAAAGGATTTCACAATTTTTGTGTATAATAAAGGTAATTGGTATTAAAAATAATTCAGGCATACTTTACCAAATAATTTTTAATGGAAGGTGAGAAACGACGGTATAAAGATGAGAAGACTGACCACACTGCACTAGGTATTAACCCATACAGAGCTCAGTTTCTATCTGTGCAGCAGCTGTTGCCAGTCAAGGGTATCACTCAAAGCTTAAAATGTTTAGCTCCAAGAATCATTGAAAGATTGAATCTGAAATTGTACCCACAACCTTCTTAACCACTTCACTATAGAAAAGAGTCTAAAACTGTCAGAAACTGATATATCTTAATCAACTTAATTGGATGTGTTGTTTCAGTCACAGATTAATGAGTCATTATAGCAAGACATTTTAAAAATATATGCACTAATGGAGATTTCCGCAAGTGAGTTTTTTTTTTTTTAATTAAAAAAAAAAATAATAAGATTTAAGATTGAATACATTCAAACAGGCATAGACTGATAACAGATTAGCCAAATAAATAATACTGGGGAAAGACTGTAACAACAGATTAATAATCACTTATCTAAAATGAGGGTGAAACATGCAGTAAAACCTCGTTAACAATTATCTCAAATGATCAAGAATTGTGTCTGTTAAAACAATTTTTGATGGAAGCAAAATTTTGTTCACATTAACGAGGTTTTACTGTAATTACTAAGTTATTCTAGTGTATATAAAATTAATGCTCATTAAATTTTCTCGAAATGTTGGTAACATTTTATTGGTTTCATTATGGCTCATGAGGTCATGTTCTCTCTCTCTCTCTCTCTCTCTCTCTCTCTCTCTCTCTCTCTCTCTCTCTCTCTCTCTCTCTCTCTTTTTTTTTTCTTTCTCTCTCTCTTTCTCTCTCTCTCTCTCTCTCTCTCTCTCTCTCTCTCTCTATCTCTTAGACACATGCACACACACACAAACAGAGAGAGAGAGAGAGATAGTGCAAACCACTCTCTCTCTCTCTCTCTCTCTCTCTTTTTTTTTTCTTTCTCTCTCTCTTTCTCTCTCTCTCTCTCTCTCTCTCTCTATCTCTTAGACACATGCACACACACACAAACAGAGAGAGAGAGAGAGATAGTGCAAACCACTTAAGGTGATCTTGGATGTTGCATATTTTTGTTATGAAGAACAATTTGTTTATCCCCGGCAGTTTTTTTTTTCCGACTTGAATTCTTAACTGGCTAAGAAGAATTTCTGATAAGAACTGTTTCTTGGATCTGAGGTGAGTTATCCTTATCAGGTCTGCATTGTATACTGACAAATAGTTAAATAAGTAAATAGATAGTTAAGTAGGTATAGTTATAATTCAATTGGAAAGGACTAAGGGCAGTGCAACTACTTAATACATTTTCTGGGAGCACATAGAGAAGTGTATCTTTTTAAGCTGCTGGCTTCCCCTTTGCTGGTTTGTCAGAATGTCATTTCTAGAATTGGATTGGAGTTATATCAGATTACTTCACTGTTAATGCTGGTTGTTTAAGGTGTCGAGTTTGTGTTTACATGTTTTATTAATGTGAGAATACTTTGCATCATTCGTAAGTTAATACAAAAGAACATACACTGAAGGGGTTGTGAGAAAAGTTTGTTTGAAATTATTTAGAATGTAACTGTCAAGAAAATCAGAATTAAGTACGTTGGCCAGATTTTGTTAAGCTGACAGCTTTGTGCAGAATTCTAACCAGATATGGTCTAAAACATTTATAATTGTTTATGACTGGAAAAACCAAAGAAACTAACAAGCATGAAAGTTTGGTCTTGTTATATCTGATGTTACTATGCTAATTATATTTGTCTAGATAATAAATTTAAATACATAATAGTCTGGCTCAAATGACACACTGCACAGTGTTATCCTCTGGATAAATGGGTCATTAGATATTAGACAGTCAAGAACACTGTGTTCTAATATTAAGATTGAAGCCTTACATGGGCATGATTATGTGTGAAAGTTAAACAAAAGGTATACTTTTAATGATGCATAAAGTTGCTAACATTTGTTAGGTCTTTTGTTTACCTCAGTTTCTCTCATCCATTGAATTAGTGTGCTAGATGTAGCTGACACTCGTAACTGGTTAGTAGGCCACAGAAGGTCCGTATATCCCATTCTTATTATGTTTGCGCACATATTATCCACCCATTCCTTCCCAGCAGGAGGGTGGTCACTAGAAAGGCTTCCCTTTTTTTTTCTTATGTCGGTATTTGGTAACGGCACTGTCATTTAGTATCACTTTTTTCAGCATTAGTGTAATAGAAACTTTGTGAGTACTAGCACCTTTTTATACACTTTATGGTGGGTACTGGGACTTTTTTTTCTAGAAAAAAGCCTTGGTCACTAGAGGCCAGTAGTAGACCCATTTTGTGCTTTTTGTTTGATCTCATCAAGCATTTATTCATTTTTGAGGGGGCTGCGTGGTCTCGTGATATGGTGTCTACCTGCTAGAGGTCCCGGGTTCAGGCCCCGGTGAAGGCTAGGATTTTTTCTGTTCAAATGGACTTCTAGTAATTTCCCCTGGTCTCTGGGTAGTGAGATCGGATGCCCGTGTGTATTATTGCGTGCGTAAAAGATCCCTTGGCAGTTGGAAATTGAAAAGAGTAGCCTAACGGCACTGCCCGGGCAAAATTTTCAGTTAAGAAAACTACATAAAATATTTCAGGATCCTCGCCGGTGCTACGGAGCCCGTGCACTGCGCTGAGCTACTTGAGGCTCAGACTTGAGTTAGAAGTAGAATGGAGCACTTATGGGTTACTACCCGTGTGCCATGATGTTGATCCGTTGTTCAAACTTCAAACTTATTTATTTGTGGTACTTTTCAACAGCTGTCCTCAGATATTTCTAGGCTGATATTTTATTCAGTTTTCCACCAAATGTCCTTATTGCACTTCTTCTGTAACAGATGGCTGGATATAAACAGATGAGAATAAAGAAAACGTACATAAATTCAACTGAGAAATATATTCCAGGATTCACATGACTGGCAGGTAATAAGTAGAGCTTTGTCTTCCCTATGGAATTGTGTAGGTCAAATGAATGTCTGAAAAAGTATAAAGCAAAATTGTTTCTGATGCATACTTTGTTTACTAAATATTTATTTATCATCTTTCACTACGTATTTATGAGTTGAATGGCAGATGGTAAATGTATTTATGTGTGTTGGATGTGAAATGATTTTTAAATTTTAAATCATTGAACTTTTGCAAAATAAAGCTGTGTATATTTATATTTCACTATATTTATATTTAATTTGCAGAAACATATTTATGTATTAATAAAAATGATTGGATGGTGTTAAACAGATCTTTAAATATGCATTCTTCATTTCCATGCTGGTCATATTAAAGTGGCTTATATGCAGTTGTTGATGTTAAGTTTGATTTATTATGCTTTTACTTATTGAATGTATTTGTTATTTATGAGTAGGTTTGCAGTAATATACTGGCAGCGAATTGGTTTGGGCAGTGGTTCCCTTTGTGTGGTTTATGTGCCCTGGAGCAGTTGTCGAGTGTGTTCTGTCATCACATTTAATTTTAAGTGCAGTTATTTTTCAGAATATCATTATAGAAACAGTTTTAACACCTTTTTTTTAAATCTTAGTGCTTCATTGTAGTGGTTGTAACAGTAACTGTGATAAATGAACAACAGAGGCTTAACATCCACCATGGTAAATATCATGGCCTTTTTCTCTTTCTGATAGTACCCTATGGTATTCAGTAACAGCACCTTTTTTACAGGCATCAGCGCTACTGTAATGGACACTGAGGTGACTTCTTCTTCTTCAAGTCCATGCCATGTGGCGTTGGTAGTCATGCCTATCCACAACTTTCTGTCTTGTGTACTTTTAGTCAACTCTGATATAGATGATCCTCCGTGCCATGATGTCATACTGTCCAGCATCTTTTCCCCTCGATTTCCCTCTGCCTTCGTAATTACTCACTGTAATTATTGTATTTTGTAGAAATTACATTTCTTTGCTATCTCACTTGAGATGTAGACTGTAAGATAGGGACATTAGAGGGCATTGTTGCTTTATCGGTCCGGTTTGGGAGACTGTCAACATGTCGAATTTTAAGGTGACTACTGGCACATTTTTAATGGGTATTAAACAAGGACAGGCATGCAGAAACAGGTTACTGTTCAAAGAAAGAAGAACTGGCAGTCAACTCCTACTGGGTATGTTGAGCATCGAGACACTGATATGGTTGCTGCATCAGACGATGGAGCACAAATGGGTCGGATCACTGTGCTAGGACAACAATTAACAAGTAACATTTTTAGGACACTTTTTGTTGAGTACCTGCACCTTTTGTTCTAGCAAAAAA